AGCTGTAAGGTATGAATTTTTCATTTCTGTGTTGCACAATTAACATTAGAGTCAGGAATTGACATTTCCCAATATGCACGATTTTGGACGTATCGGAATGCTAACAATCAGAATTATACTGAACCTTAAATGAAATCTAGTGGTGGCTTTTTGAAATTCAAATTGAGAACTGAGCTTGGCGATGTTTGGGGACGAAATTAAAGTATCGATAAAGGGAATTCGTGTGATACAAGTGTTAAAATAGACGGGAAAACCTGTATCTTAATTGTCAAAGAAAACTCAAAACTTACAGCTATACTTTCATTTATAAGGAAATAAAATTGCTGAAAATTAAAATTTAATTATTGCGCATACAAGTCCAAAGATTGGGCACATTTTTAATCGTACCGTTTTAAGTCACCAGCGACGAAATGTAACGACAAGAACATTAAAACGAATGACAAAAACGAATTCGCTTTTTCAATTCAACGCCGATTGCTTCACGAGACGAATTTCAAAGATTTTGGACGAATCGGAATGCTACCAATTTGAATTTTACTGAACCTTAAATGAAATTTAGTGGTGGCTTTTTGAAATTCAAATTGAGAATTGAGCTTGGGGATGTTCGCGGACGAAATTAAAGTATCGATACAGGGAATTCGTGTGATACAAGTGTTAAAGGAACCGGAAAAACCTATAATAATTGAAGGGTCCTATCCACTATGCAGTAAAAAATTGCTGAATAGTCTCCTTTACGAGTTATTAATTAATGTCCCCCTTTTTGCAAGCTTCCATATTGGTCGATACTGAGACCCACGCGAAGTTGAGACGAATATGCTAATATGAATGTGCTAATATGTACTTCGTCATTGTTGCCCCAAGATCAGATCATTGAGCTAGACCCAAGGAGTCGGAACTCTTGGGCGATTTACATTTTGACCATTAACGTTCGAATCCCTCAGGAATGTCCATAGCTACAGCACTGTGACCGCAAGCCTGGGCCATTCATTGCATGACTGCAAGCGGCCTTTGAACGCGATGATCGCCGCCGCCTTTTTAGTTGGCAACCAACTTGAAAAATAATGTTTACGACAAGGTTTTAACAACTGCGCAGTTGTTTGGTGTGAGTTATTAATTCAAGTTATAGAAGTGGAGTTGTTGGTCCTTGAAAGCGCTACTTGTTCCTGTAATTTGAAGATGACTTTTTTTTCGATAAGTTATCGTGTCTTTTCGGAAATTTTAATTGCCAATACATTTTGTAAAATGTAATATTTTGGGAAATTTCACAAGTTTTCATACTGAAGGTATAGAGTATTTTGTTCGTCATGAAATGATTGTTTCAGTGATGTTGACCACATTGTTAGCCAGTATTAGCCAACTCCGAACAAACCTTTCGAAATCATTCATTTTTTGTGATGTATAAGCATTAGTGAGCGCGGATCTCTATTATATAGAGATTAGCGTAGTGAGCGACTGAGCAAGGTGGCCGCCAGGTGCTTTCTACTGTTGCTTTTTATTTCGAGCGCGGCGATGATCGTTATATCACTTTGAAGTACTAGAGTTCTGACTCCTTCCATTCATAACTCCATGATCAGATCGGCCCAGCATGCAAGTCAACCTGAAAACCATGCACGTGAGTTTGGTCGGCAACAAATCCTCGTCAAAACTTTGCTTCAGTGGCATTATCAGTTGGTAACTTTATTTTTAGCATTGTCAGAAAACAATATCTGGAGGTAAACATACGTTACATGGACTTTACCCGTCAGGTGAACCTCTATAAATAATATAGATATAGATATACATGTAGATATAGATATAGATATAGGGAGAGATAATCAGTGGGAAAATCCAGCGTAATGAAATAAGTTACAGACCGCTATTCGGGTCTGGGATTAAAAGGGCACTCTTCATTTACCTGCCTTTAAAAATAGACATAATTACCAGCGCATAGAGTATCTAATTGTTGGTAGATACGTGCGCTGTTGAAGCCTCCGGTATTGTAAATATTATAGTGGGGCTGTTGAGTGATACGAATGTGCACTTTGTGACTAAAGCATGAAACTTTGCCGCGTATGTTTCAGCCGCTCATTTAGCATGCGCTCAAAATATGAAATACTGATAATCAGCAAACATGGATGCCTGCAGTCGCAGTTTGACCCACTGAAGTATCGGTCAACATCACAGTCGAAGTACTTTGATGAATTTTTCTTTCCACGTGGACAGGAATTTAAGGCAATCAAAGTCACTTTTGCAAACCTTAGCGTAAAAAACAGAGAGTATTTGATTATTTTTTGCTTGTTTTTGCGTGTCGTGTAGTACGGAAGTATTAAAGTAAAGTAATGGAGCTAAATGTATCTTTCCTCCAGCACGTGACCTAGCTCATCGCGCGCGAAGCTAGGAATGCGCAACGAGTATTTACGCGATGCGCACACGCGTTAGCGATGGTGCACTGTGCGCGTAAACGGCGTTGCGTTCGTCACGTTTTCGCGCATTATTCGTATCTTTCCTTCAGCACGTGACCCTCCATGCAAGTCTGCGCGTGTAGACGCGCTGCCGAGCTAGTCTTTTTATTCTATATCTATCCGGTTCGTTAGTGTAACGTCACCTCCAGCACTTTCTGCACGATTGGAACCGGAAGTTAACGCAGCTCGGGCGTTTGCAGCCAATGGGCGCTAGTAATCAGTGGTGTGTGCGCGCGTGTATGACGTTTTTACTAACGAACCGGATGGGCTATAGATAAAGAACTTAAAAGAAAAAACGCACGTTTGAAATTTTGACCCTATTCACGTGACCGATTGCTGCGCCCTGTCAAAACGCGCGTATTATACGCGCGTCCGATCTTTAAGTTCTATATCTATGGCCAAGTTCATGCAAGGACTATAGTTGACCAGCCTCGACTCCAGGGGCGCGTGCTCGTTCCGTGTAAACACTAACCCCTGGCTGTGATGATGACGTAAATGACGCTGAATGGCTACTCACAGCGTACTGTGCGCGCATTTTGAAGATTGCACGCCGGGCGCCCCAATAATGCGCTCGCGTGCTTTGCACGTAACGTCACGTACGAAAAAAAAAATTATGATTCAAAAGTCGCGATGCCTGTATGGATACGATATGGATTATGTCAGCCGCGTTTTTCGCTAAAAAAAAACCCTGTATCTGTGGTTGTAAAGGCACGAAAGGGGTACGTACATTTAATACAAATCTTTGCTAATTAACACAACGTCCAAACGTTGTGTTTGAAAGGATTGATTCTTCAAAATCACAACTTTTAAATTTTAAAGATGGCGTCGGCACGTAAAACGGATAAACTGCAGCCCTAATTATAATGTACCGTATTTTGGTATATTTAAATTACACAATTCCAGGGGTTACGATCGCGCAAGGCATGATGGGAAACAACATGGCGCTGCAAGATCGTACCCACGGGGCACGAGGTTGGAACCAGCATAGGCCAAGTTCGGGCAAGGACCATTAGTCGACTAGTGGTTGATTTGTGACGTACCTTACGCCTGCGCACTAATAGCAAAGTGCGAACGTCTCTAGTCGAACGCTGGTCAAAATGTCATTGCAAAATAAAAGTTCAAATATATCAAATGACAAGGATCTATATGTCTGTTATATAAAACAAATACAGAGTGGCTTTAAATTGAGAAATGGGAGGAATATTATCGCTCGGTAAAATCTGGTCTTTTCAATATTCCTCCCATTCCACGCTGAGCCACTCAATATTTGTATACCATTACTTTACGTTAATAAGTTGCGCGTCCACGAGAGACAACAAAAATGGCGGAGATTTATCGCACAGTGAATGGGCGCGTGTGGACGCGCTGCCGATCTAGTCTTTTAATTCTATATCTATGGCATTTACACACAGATACCGCGCCGTGGAAATAGGACTTTGGTTGCTAATGGTAGAGTACTTTGGTTGCTACGGGTATAGTACTTTTGGCCGTGCACAGAAAGATAGCAAAAATAGAAAGTATCATGTGACTCGCTCTCGGCCAATCAAGACACAGAATTTGTGGATGAGGTGTTATAATTCCAAATTGTCGACTAGCGTAGTTAACCATCGTCGACTAGACAGAGTTCGGGCAAGCGTTAGTCGACCAATTGTTAACTATAGTCCTTGCGCGAACTTGCCCCTACTGGGGTTGGTTGCTTCGCTGGTAACCAATAGCCGCGCACATTCATAACGCTAGCAGAGAGCCAGGATCACTGATCTCTATATAAAGACTGGATATATAGTTCGTCCTTCGAAATTCGAAGATGACAGCCAACATCTCCATACTAGTTGGTGTTGTGTGTTCGCAGATGGCTAATAAGTCCAATTCTAGCCAGGAAGCTACGGTCCTACACTGGACACACTAGGTTGGGGGTGGGGGTGGACACGTAGGGAAGCATCTAGCTGACGAGATTTTCGTTGCTGTCGTTTCAGCTCAGCCTCCCTGATGCGACGGGCTTCGAAGCTTGATGCACCTTCGTGTGATAATCTTCTCCATGCCGTTCGATTATGGGCATGTTCTTCCCAGCTACTCACATTGAAGTTGCATTGCTTCATGGTTGCTTTAAGGCAATCCTTGTATCTCTTGAATTTACCACCAGCCGATCTTTTGCCTGTTGTTAGTTCACTGTAGAAGATCTTTTTGGGGAGTCGATCATCAGGCATGCGTACTACATGACCTGACCAGCGAAGTTGAGCTCTCATGATCAAAGTACCTACACTGGGCAATTCCGCTCGCTTAAGAACTTCAGTGTCTGGGACCTTGTCTTGCCATCTGATGCGCAAGATCTTACGCATGCAGGAAAGGTGGAAGTGGTTCAGCTTTCTTGCGGCTGTAGGTTGTCCAAGTTTCACAGACATACAGCAGGGAAGTCAGGACTGCAGCTTGATACACACGCAGCTTTGTTTTCAAGCTTATGCCTCTCCTATTCCACAGACGCTCACGAAATCTTCCGAAAGGTGAGCTGGCTTTGGATATCCGATTTGTGATTTCCTGGTCTATGTGGACCTCTCTTGACAGGGTGCTGCCCAAGTATGTAAACTTGTCAACAGAATGAAGGATGTGATCTCCAATGCAGTGATAACGGGTGGAACATATGGCTTACTTGGAGCAGGTTGAAACATCACTTCTGTCTTTTTCAGATTGATTGAAAGTCCAAAGCGTGAGCAAGCTGTTGCGAAGCAGTCCATGATGAGTTGTATTAAGGCGAGCCCTCAAATTAGAATCCCTCCAAGGACCGTTCGGGGTTGAGCCCGCCCAGTATGTTGAATGGATTGGGACCTTGCATGGAACCGATCGGCCTGGATTAACTCCACCAGGCTTCTTCCCCATGGCTCTGGCTCATCACAAAGGAACCAATTTGCGACGCGCTAATCCTCCAGTAGGCAACAATGACTGTGATGAGTTTCATAGAAGTTGCCGCTGGTAATCCCAGGGGGCCGAATAATCCTCCAACAATGGCCAGACTTCAGTTTATGTTGCCTATTGTGAAACCCTGAGTCACCAGTTTGGACCGATCGGGGCGTCACGCTTCAGTGACCGGGTGGCTTCTGGCTTCGTACCGATTGGGGCGAAAGAAATTAGCATACCGGACCCGGTACCCGAACGGTCTGTTATCTGATGGCTCGCCTAAGTCTTCCTGGGTGTGTGCGACAAGAGCACAGTCATGGGCATATAGGAGTTCACGAACTAATTCATCGGAATACCTTCGTTTTTGCTTGAAGTCTTCTAAGATTGAAGAGTTTACCATCAGTCCTGAATCTCGTCTTCACGCCGATGTTGATGTCACGGAAAGCATCAAGGAGCATGCTAGCAAACACGACACTGAAGAGCGTTGGTGCAAGGACACAGCTTTGTTTAACTCCATTTGATACCGGGAAGGGTTTTGAAGACTCCCTATCGTCCGTTACTCGCGCCATCATACCATCATGAAACTGCTTAACCATCTCGGTATACTTTTCAGGGCAGCCAATTTTGGACAGGAGTTTCCAGAGTCCTTTTCTACAGCCGGTGTCAGATGCCTTTGTCAAGTCGACGAAGACACAGTAGAGGTCGGTATTCTGCTCTCTGCATTTCTCTTTTAGCTGCCGGGCTGTAAAGATCATGTCGCCTGTACCTCTTCTTTTTCTGAAACCACACTGGCTGTCGGGTAGAAATGTGTTGGCAATGTGTGTTGTGAAGCGATTAAGCATGATTCTGGCGAGGATCTCACCAGCAATGACCAGCAGGGAGATTCCTCTGTGGTTGTCACAAATGAAACGGTTGCTTTTCTTATAAATGTGGACAATGAAAGCATCCTTGAACTCTTGGGGGGAAGCACTCCTTTGATCCACATCAGTTGGAATAGCTCTGTGAGGCGTTGCACGAACGAAGCATCTCCTGCTTTGTATATCTCAGCAGGAATTGAGTCGGAACCAGCTGCTTTACCCATGGATAGTACATCAATGGCTTCTTCAGTCTCGGAGGTAGTGGGCACTTCAGCTAGGGCTACATTGACAGTGCTCTGAGGCAGGTGATCTAATGCCTCAGTGCTGATGTTTGAGTCTCTGTTTAACAGATTTTCGAAGTGAGAAGCCCAACGGTCCATGATATGGTTCTTTTCTGTGATTAGTGTGGTTCCATCATAGCTAATAAAGAGCCGCACAATGAATGAATTTGACGCCATATTGGTGAGACCGGCTGGTGATCTACAAAGGACAAGTTGCCGTTTTTATAGACAGCATGATTTCTTTTGTAACGTCGCGGTTCACTTGACTTATATTTTGACCACCACCACTGACCAAGGTTAACTACAATTTTTCTAACGTCGTGGTTACAAAAATGCCGCAAATATAACTTTTTCGGCGTTTTGAAATAATAATCACTACGGAAATGTGTCCCTTTTAGAACATCATAATATGTGAACGTGACCAAAATGCGCGTCAACTGTTGATACAACGCGCGCGTATTTACGCGTAGAACGTTCGTATTATACGCGGCCATCTTCGTGAGACCGGGGGCGAATTGGTCGATATGCAAAGTCTACTGTGTGAATGTTGTATGCATGTATCCGCTATCCAGTCTTTAGAGATCAGTGGCCAGCACCCGATTTCATCAAACTCTTCGTAACTTACGATGCATCGCAGCGCTGCGACGCGTCGTATCTCTACGATGCGTCGCAGCTGCGACGCGTCCTGCGACCTATTTCACTAAACACGTCGTAAGTGCGACGCGTCGTAGGTGTATTTATAGCACAACTCGGTGACTGTTTTATGTCTTTAGTCAGTGTACAGTAAATAGTCGTCTGGTATTCAACAAAGAGTCGTCGGATCTCAGCTCGAAAGTCGTTAAAACGTAAAACAAAATGGCGGCCGTGCGATGCAATTTTGAAGGAAAACAAGCTCTCATTAGACTGTATAGCTACTTTGAAATTTCAACTCTAATATTCCGGTCTAATTCATAATTATTCAATGAATTTTCTATTTACAACTTTACACACATTGCCTCGGTATTATAATCTCGTTAATGTAATGTTTGTGGCATAAAACTGGCTTAGAAATGACTCTTCTTATTTTGCGACGACCACTAGACACGTCGTAACTTGCGACGTGTTTTAAGCCGTTGTCAAGGAATTTACGACGCGTTCAACACATCGCAACTTTAGTGAAATGGAAGATACGACGCGTCGCGAGTTGCGACGTGTTACACGTCGTAACTTGAGTTGCGACGCGTCGCAGCGCTTCGTGAAATCGGGTGCAGGATCCAGAGGTTTTGCGATGACATTTTGACTAGCGTTTGACTAGAGAAGTTCGCACGTTGCTCTCAGTGCGCAGGCGTAAGGTACGTCACATATCAACAACTCGTCCTTGCCCGAACTTGGCCTAATAAGCTAGCCACGCGCCAGGCGCTGCGCTCCGTTTGTAATCTTTCGACGCGTTGGAAATGTACATACATTAAAGCTACAGTCCATCATTTGTAATTTGTGCATTTTGTTCGTTTGAAGCAACAAAAGAGTTCAAAATCTAATGAAGGATACTGAGCAACTAACCTGATGAAGTTTCAGCTAAGCTTCAGCTGTACATTCCGAGAAAAACAGCATTCTAAGATCTCAATTTCAAATCCAAAGTTACAGAATCATGTTTTGAATTGCAGCTATACGCGACGTCGCGCACTGATCCGACGAATTATAACAACCGCGCGCGCGTGTGCGTCGTTCCAATACTTGTGCGCGCTGCTCTGAATAACAAAACGAACTACTAATTTAAATTTTCCTACGGTGCTTCTTAAGAATCACCGTTGGAAATGCCTTCTTTCGTTGATTACTTCAAAATGACAGCTTCCCAGAAAGAATAATTTCACAGGGAGTTTAGTCCCCTTACTGTCTTTCAACCAAGTTTGTTTTTCAACAATAATTACGCCAAATACTTTTCGGATGGCTGCAAATGATGGACTATACCTTTAACTGAAACGATTTACAGCTGACTGGTTCCCGCCCCTGAAATGCAGTTAAGTACGATCATAGAGGGCACTTGGACCAGTTTATTTGTGCACGAAGCTTTCAAAATGGGTTTACTCGAAAAATGACGATTTTCATAAGCTACATAAAAAAATATCATTATCGGTGTTGTCACTCGCAGACGCTTTATGTCCATTGTGATTCGTGGCGCCGAAGCCACGCATTGAGCTCTTCCCGGTTGAAGAGCATACGCCTGACTTGCATTTCGTCCAGTCCGCCGGCCAGGTCCTGACCGAGGGCTCCACTGGTTCCGGATGTACTTATGCTCAGCCTTGGTGAACAGCCACTGCTTCTGCTCGCTCGAGTTAGGTATGCGAGTAATGTGCGCCATGTACTTGACGTGCTGTTTTAGACAAAACTCGGATGTCCGGCAGATTTTCAGTATCTCGCGCGCTGGCGTTATACTTGTACGCGTAGGTGTCCTCACCGTCCATGTTCTTTTTCTTGCTGAACCTGCCTTTGACTAGCTTCCTGCAGAAATTCACCCACAGGCTGTCAAGCTTGTCTTGTTCGGAGGCTTCAAGTTAAATTAGGTTTTGCCCGACGTTTAAACACTGTATACTCAGTGTGTTACCTCCCGGGTGAAGGTTGGAAAAAAATCACTCGGGTGGGACTCGAACCCACGACCTCCTGCTTTCCAGTGCAGATGTTTAACCACTCCACCACCGAGCTAACGGGATCGGTTGGCTGGTTCGAATCTGATGTACATAGCAGCGGGTAATTTTTGGTTTTGATCATCTTTTAAGTACGTTCGAGAAGGATACATTTTAAGACATGAAAACCAGACAATCGTTCAGTGCGTCGTCTGCTACCGCTGTTTGCAAGCTGACAACGCGGAGGAAACCATTGCGCATGCGTGAGAAGACAACTTAATTCACGCATGGTCTATGGGGCTGAACCATACGTGCATCGCGTACCGGTGTAGCGTGAATATCCGACTCCGTGAAATGTGGACTCATTGCTAGTACTGCGCACGCGTGAGTACAATACTATGCTATTTTAAGGATCGTTTCGGGAGAGTGACCTGTCACGTGCGAGGGATCAACCAATAATAGGGAAATAGGGGTCCGATTTTCATAGGAGTCGGATTTTCATGTGACACCGGTACAATGCGCGTTTAATATTAACAAGAGGTGAACGATGTCATTCCCTGATCAATCTAGGGACGTAAGAAGTTTTTACTGATTACTTTGTAAAATTAAGGTTTGTTTACCTTTTAGATTGTAATTGGTGTATGTTCAGGTTTTTTAATAAATATATCAATCATTTGAATGAATCTCCATTCAATTTCTCGTGTGAGTGTTCAGTTAAAAAAAATTGATGTCATTTTAGCATATTTTTAATACAATTATTCATTTTGTTGATGGAGTAATTCAGTGTGCTCTAATGACCAATGTGCCAAAAATGAAATGGCAATTTACTTACAATCATTTTTGGGAGGAAGACGGATTAAAAAAAAATAAGGGAAAAGGAAAGGGGGGGTTTCTTGAATTTCGAAAATGCATAATAAGAAAGTGTATACATGTATCAAGAAAGTGTGGAAGAGCTGTTTGGAGGGATTGAGGGTAACTCCTCATCGTTCAGTTACTTGTTTTTTTTTAATTGTTTTTGAGGAACGCTTGAA